CATGATTTAACTTTACCTAGGCATTCTCTGGACGAGGCCTTCACCGAAATGGTTAAAAGCAATAGTGATTTGCATATTCTTGTCACGAGCGTAAGTGTCACTGTGACCAAGCAGCATGACCTTGTCGTGGTGCGTCATGAAATTGTTGGAGAGTGTGATTGCGGTCGAGCCCATGATAGCATCAATGAGGCCATCGTCGCAATTGGAGAGCGAGCAATGGTCGACCCAAACGTGGCTACCTCCGAAGATGGAGACACCGTCACCGTCCGAGACCGTTCTCCACCCGAAATGCCGTGGGGAGCTCCGCACCATAGCGTTGCCTCCTTGCTTGCAATCGTGGATATGGATTCCGTGGATAATGATGTTCGTCACGTACTGGATTGTGATGCAAGGCCCACCCGCGATGTGTACGGAGGCGCCACGACCATCGATGGTCTTGAAGGAGTTCATTATCAGCTCTTCCTTGAGCCGAATCGTCATGTCTCTCTGGAATATGATCCAGAGCGGCTCGTCTTGGATCACCGCGTGCCTTAGCGTTCCGGGTTTCGGGCTCACTGGGTCGTCGTTTCCTGAGTCGGTCACCACGTAGATCCGACCGTCTCGACCACCAATCGCGTTCTTGCCGAACCCAATCGAGCAATCAGCCAGACGCTGTCGGTTTGTCTCCCAGTGAGGGTCACATCTCCAACAGTCGTCGATTGGGTTTCCGGTCGCACATGACAGATAGCCTAACTTCCTTCTTCCTGCAACCGACGCATTAATGCTCCTGCGTTCATTTTTTCACCCAATTTATTAGCTATTGAATAGTACTAGTGTGTGTGTGTACCATTGAACAAGAAAAAGTGTGTTAACAAAAGAAAAATAAAAGATTCCTACTTGTGAACTTCTTCGACAACAGCTTCTGGGTCTGGAACTGGTGAACATGAGATCAATGAACCGTAGAGAAGAAAACAGAGTATGGAGGAGATATAGAGCTTCTTCGTCTGCATTTTTTCTTCTTA